GAGTGAAGATAGACTGTGTGTTTTACTCGAGTTCTTAAACTATTTTCTTCACTGTGAGACATATGGACTACTATTTCAGAATTTTATATTATTTATCTCTTCAGCGTTGCGTAGTTCAGGTGAAAAAGTTGGTAGGTTGTTATCTTCTTGAGTAAAGACTCTCTGGAACTGGAGACCAGTTCCAGTCTGCAAATCAATTGGCAATTTCAGTCTCATTGTAAGTTGTCTGATTCGTGTTTGTGTTTCTAAGCACAAAATTTTGGAGACGAGAGTTTAGGGACACTGAAGTAGTGAAGTTGAGACGAAAAGTGAACTTAAAGTGACGAAGAAAGAGACTATTTTCATGATTCCAGAGACGGTTTCAGCGATGGTACTCGGTACTCCAACAGGAACTCAAGTACTAGGAAACGTAGATGACACACAGGTAGAAATTGTTGATTTAAGTGAGCTCTTATTTCGGAACATAATGATAGAAAACAAACGTACGTAGAGATGAAATGATCGAAAGATTGGCAAATCAGATGATTACGAACAGTGGGGCAGCACCCAGTGTTGCCAGATCTCACGATTATTCGTAAGATTTTTGTCAGAATTTCACGATCTCACGAATGAGGTAGCAATTCTCACGAATTCTCTCTGCATAGTAGTACAAATCAGTAATTATTGACGTTTTCAAATAAAAGAGATGAACGATAAGTATGAAAACATTCATTTTCCCGCCAAAATTTGCTTGCTTGTCAATGTCAATGTGTATTGGGTGTTTAGCAATCGCTGCGTTTTTATTCTCATCAAATTTTTCCGATGGATCCACCATTCTATAGCCGTCATTGTCATTTTCGATTCATTAAACAAAGACAGCTAACTCATCGGTGACTTCACCAATGAGTTAGCTATCTTTGTTAAGTGAATGGAAAATGATAATGACCGACATAGAATGATGGATCCATCGGTAAAATTTTATAATAAAAACACAGGGTTTGAAATTGGAAAGAAAATGTGGGAAAAGTCACTGCTTCATTCGCAGAACTTCGCTATGAAGCCGGGGTGGATTATTTTGGAAGCAAACAGCTTCTGAAAACTAAACTTGAACATGGATTACTTTGTATACTTGATGAGCCGTGGATTTCCCTTTCTTTTGCGAGTATCCTTTCTGCATTCTGATTTTCTTTATCCAAGTTTTGACAAATATAGGATTTGATGGAAACTTATGGAAAAACACATCCGCCGGTGAATAGGAATAAATAGGAATTCGTTTTATGTATAGGCACACTACACACAATCACCATTGTTAAGAAAAAACCTTAAAAAATCCGAGGAAATAATAGTTTCTTTCAAAGTCTTGTCTACAAACCACTGTCAACGGCTGTCAACCATTGTTTTCATACTCTTTTGGCGTCTGACAGTTTGATGCCAGAGAGAGAGGCTTTTAAATTGAAAAGGTCAAAGAGCAAATTTTGACGAACGCCACGTAATCACTTATCTTTTTTCACTTGTCAAATCACGTGACATCTGTGAAAATGTATTCTTTTTTTCTCGCAGATGCAATTGCCGAACTCAGCCTAGGACTATTGAGCTGAAAGTGTGAAAGTGTTTGCCATGTCAGTCTAAGACCCCAACTCTTGGCGTAAATAGCAGTATTCGAATTCCCAAACGTTAAAATCACAATTTATAAATTTTAAATCGACGAATAAATCGACTCACAGACACAGCCTAAATCGCAAGCAATCCATCAAGGTCTGCGGGTGACATCAGCACTATCAGCTGGTGATAATGGTGACGTCACTCGCAGACCAGCTGCCGACTCGAGAATTGGCAAACTTACGCCCTATGAGCATTTTTGCGGATAGTGAACTTGGTGAAAACGAGACTCGTTCCAAAAACACCTAAACGCTAAAAAACGGAAAATACAAGGATACGTGAGATTTAATAATAAAATGTTTATGAATGTAAAATCATGTTCACCTACTTCACTTCTAGATCAACGCTTCTAGGCAGCACCTGCACAGCCAGCTGATCACCCCATAGCCCTCGAACCAAGCTTCCTACACTCTAATGCACAATCTGCGGATTTTGATGTTACGCAGCGTGACGTCACAAACGGAATCGTGACGTCCGCTATTGTTTTCATAACGCTTACGAATATTATGTGCTTAGCTCTTTTTCATTGTGTTTTTCGAAAATATTGACTTGTTTTGAGACTGTATTGCATTGCAAATAAACAATACAATTAGGTACATTTATTATTACTTAATGTGTGATGTGACGTCAAAAGCAGATGGAGATAACATGTACATACCTAGTAGAGTGTAGGAACCTTACCCCGGACACTCACAAGGTCTTTCTGTGTACCCAGAAATTTTGAGAAACGTTGAGAATTTTGATGGAAACCCATCGAAGGCAGTTTTGTGGTTGGACACATTAGATAGTGCGCAAACCCTACACCAAGTTTCAGACAGCTAAATGCTGGAAACAGCAAGAACGAAGTTAGTAGAAGGAGCTAAGTATTGGTATTCTCTAAGCGTAATGAGTTCAATGCTACATGTTTGCCTAAAGAAAGCTTGGCAGTGAAATTTAAGAAAACGGAGAGCAGAGTTCAGGACAAAAATGAAAGTTTAAATTCATATTTTCATGGGAAAGTAAAGTTATGTACGGATATAGGCCTAGAAATAGATGAAATCAAAGAGCAAGTGCGCCAAGTGCTTGGGAATATCGTTTTTTAAACCGGGTAGAAGAAAATTAAACTGTGTTTTGAGAGTGATGTTTTGGCATTACATTAGCCGGGAGCGTATACAGAGGAACATAGAGATGCCAACTTAATTGGATTTGATGGTATGATTCTTCAGAAAGAGTCAGATGATCTGATGCACCCTGCGTAGTATATGTAAGTAGACAGACTACACCCGAAGAACAGAAATATCACTCATCAGAATTGGAAACTTTGTGCTTAGTTTGAGTATTGGAGAGATTGACAGTATATCTCATCGGCATAGAATTTGCATTGATTACAGATTTCAATGCATTGAGAAGTTTATTCACTGAAAAACATTTAATTCTAAGATGGTGGTGGCTAAAAATGCAAGAGTATAGATTTGACGTAATACATAGACCTGCGACAAGAATGGCACATGTAGATGCGTTGTCACGCAATCCGATTGGTGAGACAGAAGAAACAGATTGCAGATGATGAATACCCTTGAAGAAGATGATTGGTTATATTTATATCAGAAAGAAGATCCAAAACTTAAGAATATTATGGAGGTAGGTATTAGCCAAAGTTCAAAGATTACTAAAGAAGAGAAGAGAATAGAAAATGAGTATGAGATTAAAGATGGTCGATTATTTAAGAAACAAAATGTAGATTTATTATGGGTTGAACCTAGTAAATTTAGATGGAGGATCACGAAGAAATATCACGATGCTTTAGGACACCCCGCTCTTCCAATAACTTTGGATAAACTTGAGAAACTCCACTGGTGGCCAAGAATGAAGAACTATGTTGAGAACTATATTGGAACTTGCACAAATTGTTTATACAATAAAATACCTAGTGGAAAACAACCAGGCAAACTTCATTCTATAGACAAAATTGGTTTTCCATTTCACACGTTGCACTTAGACCACCAGGGGTGGGATTCTGTAACAAATAGAGATATTTTCGCTATCTCTATTGATGTTCCCTCTCTTTTGATTTCGAGAAAAGAGGAGAAGCGAGCAAGTTTCATAGCGATAGGGATAACGATCTCTATCCGTCACAGAGTTCTAGCCCTGGGGCCCTTTATTAAGAGTACAAAAGGAAAATAATACATATACTCCTGATAATAGACGAATTCACGAAGTTTGTGGTCTTAAAACCAGTCGGAAATACGAGATCAGTGATTTCTGCAAAAGCCTTAGAAGAAATAATGAATATAGTAAGTACGCCACATAGAATTATCTCAGATAGGTAGAGGTACTTCATTTACTGATTTTGACATTGAAAAATTTGAAACATTAACAATAACGCTTGACCCTAATTGGTCGCAAAATGAGGTGTTTCTGCAGGTTGACATCAGTTTTACAATAGCGGCCAATAAGTGGCATTAGCGGCATTAAATTTAATAAAGGAAGAGCAAGCAAGAGACAAACATTAGAAATAAATTGTCTATCTCTTGGTGAGAAACGTCTAGACTAACCCAAACTACAAATCGATGAAGGGTTGTCAATACTCAAGAATCTCCAAAAGATACTTCAAGAGTTGAATGCTGTCTAAATATATCATGCATGATATAAAAATAAGACACCCCATCATAGATTTTAAAGAATCTGAAAATCTAAACTATAGTGATTCCTCCTAAGACTTGAAAGACTTTTGAAGCTCATGATTTAGGTAGGATTGAAGATTTGAAACAAACAGTATACATCGGAATTTGATACTTTTATAGCTCAGTTTCAACTTGAGGTGAGCATGGAATCGAATATTTTTCTTTATTCCAAATTCAGCTTCACAAGAATCAAAATTGAGAGTTCTGAATCGCAATAGTTCATATTTACTATAAATTGGTAAATAGAGGAAGTGATATTGTTCTCAGTCAGTTGAATTTTAGCTCCATAGTTAAGGGGGTAAAATGAGCTTCTCGATCCGCTTTAGATCAACTCTCTGTCTTTGAGGCCTAAAGAAACACAGTCCATAGACATATAAATTATAACTTTGGATGATCAGAAATCGCAATTTGATACTTTAATAACTCAATTTCAACCATAGTAGAACTATGGGAATAGAATTTTCATGTTTCTTGAAATTCAGCTTCAATAGGGTCAAAATTGAGCTTTTTGAACCGCGGTAAAAGACTTTTCTGAACAAAGCAGGATATCAACATGACCAATAAATTATTATTTTTTTTATAAATAATAATACATTGAAACTTCGATATTTCCATTGCTATCTCTATGTAAAATACTAGCAAATAAGTTGAATTACATTTTGTTAAGTAAAAGTAAAATACAACAATAATTTAACCATTTTACATTCCAATAAATTCCTTTTTAATAATGTAATTGTAGTAAAGTCCCAAAACGCCCGCTCCCAAAGTTGTGGTGTGATCGCTGCAACCGTCCTCAAATAATACAGCATCTCGTTTAATTCTCGACTTATTCTTGTCGAGAAGTTTGTCTTTGAAACAGCCGCTGTCCCTTTGAGATTTCAAAATTCTAAACAGCCAATCGTTGCGGATGAAATCGGTGAAACCTTCATAACCGCACAGTAATACTAGAAAAAAAACACTTTCATGAAAACGAAACCCTAGTATTTACATAAACTTGACATGAAACTAATGTTGGTATAAAAAATTTAGTGTTTACTAACTTTGTTCCAGAAACAAGTCAAACTTTTCGTCCTGCGATCCAGTGTAGTACGTGGCATCGTATTTGATAAAAGTGCAAATTTCAGTCACTTGCTTCTTGTAGTAGTAAGCATTAATGATGCATTTCCTAGCTTTGGCAATTTGTAAAATCAGTAGTTTGTGAGTCAAAAAGTACCCGTTGCCCTTGGCGTTTTTGTAAAAAGTGTCCCAACAGCTCCTGCTCACCGGACACTGTCTGTAGTCTTTTTGATTTGTAGCGTTGACGATTTCGAAAATGCAATGGTCCGAATAGTTTTCGCGATAGAATATAATCTGTGGCGATATTTTGTCAGGATTTTTTTTGGTTTTTAGCGAATTTTTTGGTTTGTAGTCCATGGATTTTGTCCAAATATCATTGTAGATCAAATTTTTGAATTCTGGAAGTACAAAATTGCAATTTCAAATTGAATCTATATAAAACTTACTCCAATCGCTGCCGTTTTCCTCAGTTGTAGAAAAGAATTGGCTCGCTTTGGCCAGTACATTGTCGCACCTGTTCATAATGCGTAAAGAACTCGGATCCATTATGTGACTTCCGTTCTTGTAAGAATCTTTCATGAAAGCTGAAAATAAAATTGCACCAAGAAACTTTCAATAAATGTATCTTATCTTTTATAAGAAGATTACTTCACTTACAAAGGTACTAGTACCTACTCTTTGGCAATTTGTTTTCAGTACTTAAAAATGTACTGGAAATTTGGATCTACTTCGAAAAAGTTTTCAAAAGTACCTACCTAATTAAGGTATGTAACTTACTTATTATTCAGAATTTTACTTAAAATATGTACTCTAAGTACCTATTTAGTATAATATCTAATCTAGTTTGAGAATTTTCTAGAAAATTATGCTTACAGTTTTAAGTTTATAAGTATGTACTTTAAGAGAGTAGGTACCTATATATATAAATATTTTAAGCACTTATAAATATCTCACTTAAGTCTATACTTTAAGTACTTGAATGCATATAAAACGTACACCAAATACTGTACCTATATATTGAACATAATATGTACCTACTGATACTTAAAATGTTTGTTTTTACTTCAAGTATGTAATATAGGTACTTGATAGATTCTTATACATATAATGGCCGTTTGCACCGACCATTTTGAGGAAGCCTTAGCGATAAGTGTTACGCAATGGTATTTGAAATTTAGTAAATTGGACTGTGACTGGGAAATCGCGCAAACAAATAGAAATAGAAATGAAAATGATACCATAGGGTTGTCGAAACACACAAAAGTTATTACCACTCACCTGGGTTTTCTTATAAGCTGTGCATATATAAGGGGATCCCCTGGAAAACGGTTCTCCACAACCACCAACGTATCACCATCGACTTAAGGCACTCAAGGTCCCTTTTTAACGGCACAAGACATAGACATTTTGCAACGTGCATATGAACCACCATTTATCTAGTGTGTGTAAATCCAAATCTTCAACAGCTATCTGCTTTGGCGCAGGATCGTAGAAAATACACTCCAGTGTGTTTCACACGAAATTGACATTTAAGTAATTCTTTAATAAGAATGAGAAGAAACCAAATTTGTAAATAATGTTGCGTTAACAATAAGTATTCCTTAAAGTGACATTTATCCATGTAGAAATGTCATTTTAAGGAATACTTATCGCTTATGCTTCCTTAAAATGGTCGGTGCAAACGGCCATAAGTATATTCGAAATATTGAATACTGGATACTTTACTCAGGCTGAGAAACATTAAGTCCACTAATAATTTAATCATAAAATAAAATATTTAATTTTCACTCTTGTTTTATTGATTTTAGTAATTTTTTAAACGAAAGATAAAGAAAATGTTGGAGTTTTGGTAGCAAACATTCTAAAGGTTGTGCTACATTGTCAATCAAGTGACTATTCCCGGCTCTTGATTTGAATCAATGTCCAAATTCTATTTTAGATAGAAACCCAGAGAGCACAGAGACATCTTAAAGTCCACAAACCATTCAAGACGTCTGTTTACGTGTTTAAAGCAATGACACATCTTGCAGACGTCATATGTTACAAAACTTAACGTCTTTCAGACGTCTGCCTAAAAACGTCTTCAGGACTAATATTTCATTATTATTACTAAATTTTTCTAGTATTGGCATAGACATAGATTCATAATTCCAATTCTAAGCCTCAGATTTTCTTCCAGTTTGTTTTATATAATGGAAAGACCCTCAATTGCGAATTCAGAAAGTTTGAAGTTGATCTGAATGCTTGAACTATTTTCCAGAGGCTTTCAAATTCGATTTAATAAGAAATTTACAAATTCTTCTAGTATTGACATGGACAAAGATTCATAATTCCAATTCTGAGCCTCAGATTCTCTGTCAGTTTGTTTTATATAATGGAAAGACCCTCAATTGCGAATTCAGAAAGTTTGAAGTTGATCTGAATGCTTGAACTATTTTCCAGAGGCTTTCAAACTCGATTTAATAAGAAATTTACAAATTATTCTAGTATTGACATGGACAAAGATTCATAATTCCAATTCTGAGCCTCAGATTCTCTGACAGTTTGTTTTATATAATGGAAAGACCCTCAATTGCGAATTCAGAAAGTTTAAAGTTGATCTGAATGCTTAAACTATTTTCCAGAGGCTTTCAAACTCGATTTAATAAGAAATTTACAAATTCTTCTAGTATTGACATGGACAAAGATTCATAATTCCAATTCTGAGCCTCAGATTCTCTGTCAGTTTGTTTTATATAATGGAAAGACCCTCAATTGCGAATTCAGAAAGTTTAAAGTTGATCTGAATGCTTGAACTATTTTCCAGAGGCTTTCAAACTCGATTTAATAAGAAATTTGCAAATTATTCTAGTATTGACATGGACAAAGATTCATAATTCCAATTCTGAGCCACAGATTCTCTGTCAGTTTGTTTTATATAATGGAAAGACCCTCAATTGCGAATTCAGAAAGTTTGAAGTTGATCTGAATGCTTGAACTATTTTCCAGAGGCTTTCAAAGTCGATTTAATAAGAAATTTACAAATTCTTCTAGTATTGACATGGACAAAGATTCATAATTCCAATTCTGAGCCTCAGATTCTCTGTCAGTTTGTTTTATATAATGGAAAGACCCTCAATTGCGAATTCAGAAAGTTTGAAGTTGATCTGAATGCTTGAACTATTTTCCAGAGGCTTTCAAACTCGATTTAATAAGAAATTTACAAATTCTTCTAGTATTGACATGGACAAAGATTCATAATTCCAATTCTGAGCCTCAGATTCTCTGTCAGTTTGTTTTATATAATGGAAAGACCCTCAATTGCGAATTCAGAAAGTTTAAAGTTGATCTGAATGCTTGAACTATTTTCCAGAGGCTTTCAAACTCGATTTAATAAGAAATTTGCAAATTATTCTAGTATTGACATGGACAAAGATTCATAATTCCAATTCTGAGCCTCAGATTCTCTGTCAGTTTGTTTTATATAATGGAAAGACCCTCAATTGCGAATTCAGAAAGTTTAAAGTTGATCTGAATGCTTGAACTATTTTCCAGAGGCTTTCAAACTCGATTTAATAAGAAATTTGCAAATTATTCTAGTATTGACATGGACAAAGATTCATAATTCCAATTCTGAGCCTCAGATTCTCTGTCAGTTTGTTTTATATAATGGAAAGACCCTCAATTGCGAATTCAGAAAGTTTGAAGTTGATCTGAATGCTTGAACTATTTTCCAGAGGCTTTCAAAGTCGATTTAATAAGAAATTTACAAATTCTTCTAGTATTGACATGGACAAAGATTCATAATTCCAATTCTGAGCCTCAGATTCTCTGTCAGTTTGTTTTATATAATAGAAAGACCCTCAATTGCGAATTCAGAAAGTTTGAAGTTGATCTGAATGCTTGAACTATTTTCCAGAGGCTTTCAAAGTCGATTTAATAAGAAATTTACAAATTATTCTAGTATTGACATGGACAAAGATTCATAATTCCAATTCTGAGCCTCAGATTCTCTGTCAGTTTGTTTTATATAATGGAAAGACCCTCAATTGCGAATTTAGAAAGTTTGAAGTTACTCTGAATGCTTGAACTATTTTCCAGAGGCTTTCAAACTCGATTTAATAAGAAATTTACAAATTATTCTAGTATTGACATGGACAAAGATTCATAATTCCAATTCTGAGCCTCAGATTCTCTGTCAGTTTGTTTTATATAATGGAAAGACCCTCAATTGCGAATTTAGAAAGTTTGAAGTTACTCTGAATGCTTGAACTATTTTCCAGAGGCTTTCAAACTCGATTTAATAAGAAATTTACAAATTATTCTAGTATTGACATGGACAAAGATTCATAATTCCAATTCTGAGCCTCAGATTCTCTGTCAGTTTGTTTTATATAATGGAAAGACCCTCAATTGCGAATTCAGAAAGTTTGAAGTTGATCTGAATGCTTGAACTATTTTCCAGAGGCTTTCAAAGTCGATTTAATAAGAAATTTACAAATTCTTCTAGTATTGACATGGACAAAGATTCATAATTCCAATTCTGAGCCTCAGATTCTCTGTCAGTTTGTTTTATATAATAGAAAGACCCTCAATTGCGAATTCAGAAAGTTTAAAGTTGATCTGAATGCTTGAACTATTTTCCAGAGGCTTTCAAACTCGATTTAATAAGAAATTTGCAAATTATTCTAGTATTGACATGGACAAAGATTCATAATTCCAATTCTGAGCCTCAGATTCTCTGTCAGTTTGTTTTATATAATGGAAAGACCCTCAATTGCGAATTCAGAAAGTTTGAAGTTGATCTGAATGCTTGAACTATTTTCCAGAGGCTTTCAAAGTCGATTTAATAAGAAATTTACAAATTCTTCTAGTATTGACATGGACAAAGATTCATAATTCCAATTCTGAGCCTCAGATTCTCTGTCAGTTTGTTTTATATAATAGAAAGACCCTCAATTGCGAATTCAGAAAGTTTGAAGTTGATCTGAATGCTTGAACTATTTTCCAGAGGCTTTCAAAGTCGATTTAATAAGAAATTTACAAATTATTCTAGTATTGACATGGACAAAGATTCATAATTCCAATTCTGAGCCTCAGATTCTCTGTCAGTTTGTTTTATATAATGGAAAGACCCTCAATTGCGAATTTAGAAAGTTTGAAGTTACTCTGAATGCTTGAACTATTTTCCAGAGGCTTTCAAACTCGATTTAATAAGAAATTTACAAATTATTCTAGTATTGACATGGACAAAGATTCATAATTCCAATTCTGAGCCTCAGATTCTCTGTCAGTTTGTTTTATATAATGGAAAGACCCTCAATTGCGAATTTAGAAAGTTTGAAGTTACTCTGAATGCTTGAACTATTTTCCAGAGGCTTTCAAACTCGATTTAATAAGAAATTTACAAATTATTCTAGTATTGACATGGACAAAGATTCATAATTCCAATTCTGAGCCTCAGATTCTCTGTCAGTTTGTTTTATATAATGGAAAGACCCTCAATTGCGAATTCAGAAAGTTTGAAGTTACTCTGAATGCTTGAACTATTTTCCAGAGGCTTTCAAACTCGATTTAATAAGAAATTTACAAATTATTCTAGTAT